AATAAGCAGTATTTGATATGAATTGTAACATGTTTGAATAAGGTATAAAATTTCATTTTTAATAATTAATATAAAAATCCACCCCCATACCATCAATCAATTACAACAAGTTTTAATTTTTAAAAAATTAAACAATCAAATGTTCGTTATTTCGATATTAAATTAGTAATTGTTAGTTGTTATTTTTTGTTGGGCTAAAAAAATATACAGTTCTAACAACATTTTAAGGTAAATATATGAATTATAAGTAAAGAAAATATATGAATTTTTTTTCCTAAAAACGATATTACTGCTATTGAACAATAATGTATTTTTTAAACTAACTTCAGCTTTTTATGGATTAGTTACAAATTTGAAAAGTGCAGTTCAGTCCTTAACATTACCATTAAAAAATTCAGCAGTTTAGACCAGTAGATAAGGCACAACTGTTTAAATATTTTCATAATTCAATAGGGTAAACAAAACTTTAAAACATAAATTCATTCAAAAGAAAAACAATATAACTTTTTTTTGAAAATTATATACACCAGCTATGTCATACTATTTGTGCTATTCATTAAATAGAATTTTAAATGTACAAATCCAAGTATATTATTTCTAATTAAGTCATAATTAAGAAAATATATAGTTTTTCTTTGCTCCTGTGTAAATTCAATTTTAGATACAATATTTTCTAATAAATTAAATAATCCTCTAAAGTTTATGTTGCCCTTGTTTAAAGAGTATATATAAAATTTTACTTCTGATTTAAATTAAAAACCATTTATAGTTTTTTTACAGTATGAGGTATTTAAAGTTTTTAAAAAACTTATAAAAATTATGAGTGTGTGAGATGTCATGAGAGCTATTGAATACATGCCACTTAACAAATATATTGCACAACACGATAATTATGTTTATTGAAGATAAATTATAAATGCTAAAATTTTTGAAGTGATACTCAAGTCTATGTGACACAGGATATCATAAATTTAATCATGGCTATTTTAAATTTTTAAAGTAAGAACATTTAAAAAAAATTATTAGAAATTTAGATAAAAAATGAATTAACAATTGTTTTCATTTATCAGAAACTAAGATAATTTAATTAATCAGAAAACCTATAATTTTTTAGCTGCTTTAAACGTTTCGTCAAGTTTATTTAGAATTTTGTGAAATATTATTTTAAAAACAATTTATTAAAAAATCTGAAAAAAAAAAGTTCTATAAAAAAATCTATATATTCTGTGATACGTCTCCTAAACTCAAATTATAAAGTTTAATGTAGTATAGTGTTTAAACAAATGAAAAAAAATAAATAAAATGCTTATAAAAACCTGATGTGAATAATACCCGTACAATGAAGTTAAGAAATGGGAAATGGGTTTGGAGACCATATAAAATATAAAACGAATACATGGTGATAAAATTAAGAACTAAAATTAAAATAGTCAGTTTAATATTGATGCCATTTATTCTGTGAGAAAGATGATTCATCATTTGATATTAGCAAAATTAAAATTAATTAAAATAATTTAATTTAGATCTACCCAGTAATTTAGATTCAGTACTGTTCTTATTCAAATCTATTATACCTTATGTTGCATAGCTTTTTGTTAATCGGAATTATTATGAAATTATACAAGTTTGAAAATTAAAATATGTTTTAGGAAGACAATGTTCTGTTTGAGAAATACTTTTCAATTTTTTTAAAACAACAATAACTCTATTTCAGTTTATCAGAAAGTTTGTTCTCTACATTTCTTGTTGTTTTTTTGTTCTTAAAAAGAAGCATCTTTTTTTTATACAATTGAAAATTCTATACATACAGGCATCCTCTTACTGACAACACAAAGGCATCCATGCTTAAATAATAGCAGTCTTGCAGAAATCTCTGGTCATATGAAACTGCTTTATAATCTGATACTTCAAATACACTTATGTACAGAGCTGCAAACCCATTTACACATGCTTATAATATTATGTTCCAAAATTATTTTCATAATTCAGACACATTTTAGATATTTACCTAAAAGCTGATTTTGAAAACTAAAGGAAAAATATACTCCTCACATTCAATACTTTAAAAATATATCTTGAAAAAAAAATTCATTCTCACCAACTTAGCTTAAAATATTACCAAGTTAAGATAAAACAATCATTACTGAACTATAATATATTCTATTTCTTTGGGGTAAGTCATATTATCACATTGCACTGTATGGAGCTTCATAGGGAAAGGAACGTCTCTAATCACACAATCTCCATTAGGATAGAGGTAGAAATGTGGCACTGTTTCATGCATTTGAGATTTTACCTTTAGCCATATGTTGATTAAAATTTCAATAAGTTAAGGCACAAGAGAACTTGGCTTTTTAATTAATTAGTAAATTGCAAATCGTTAGTGGCTTACAAAAAAGTATTGTTAAAATACCAAAGTGACAAAACCTCAAATGCACGAACAAATTGCTTTTGTTTGAGAAGAAAAACACGGCTAGCGTTTTTCAAATAAAATGTACAACTCCATTTTAAATACAATATTTTTAAAAATGTACACAAACAAGTTTTATTTGTTAAAGCTCCCTAAAAATGTACAAAACAAGCACTGATGGTGTTGTTTTGTATGGACAACACAAAATATAATTACAAGATATACATTTCAGACATTATAACCGTCCTTTTTACTAACAAAATAATATAGGGTGCAAATATATGTGACTTTTCAATAAAGCCCATTGATTTCTTCAGAAAATTATATCAAAATGGGCTTAATAAATTAAAATGGTTGTTATAAAAATACAAAATCAACAATTTAGACAAACCTATTTTAAAGAGAAAGAAGTTTAAAAACTCAGCAGAGAAAATTGATAAAATGCACCATATTATTGCCCTTAAAAGTGAAAATCAGTTATAAATATATTTTTTTAAAAAGGCACCTGGGAATCTTCTTTTAAAATAAAACTTAAGAAAAACAACTAGATTTTTAAAAATAGTGTTGAACTTGCTCATAACTTCTTTCTCATTTATAAATTGTTTTATTTAAAATATAACTAATTAACAGAATTAAACCAAAATTACAAATAAATCATATAGCTGTTATCAGCATATGTAATATTATGCTTAGTACATCTAAAAACATTACTGATTAAAAATAATACATAAATAGAAAATGACAATAACAACACACAATTGTTACCCATATCTGCCCATTACAACTTTGTTATCACTTTGAACTAAGGTCCTTGAAGCACATAGCAATAGAGGCAAGTCCCACCGGTAAAAAGATGAATATTAATAAATAGACTGCCAACTCATTTCTTGTAGAGTATTGCATCTTAAGGTGAATTGAACAGTTATAACCTGCTGGAGCAAATAATCCTGCAACTACAGCTTTTTCTACATGCTTCACGTCTCAAATTTCTTCTTTGGTGGCCTTATGCCAAAGAATATTCACACCAAGCAAAAGACTAGGTCCAAAATAATTTATTGTTTATTTAAACATCTGAAACTTGTCTTCACTTGACTGTGACTATCTCCCCTTGTGAACATTTGGGGACTCCTTACAACCACCTGGGAAAATAAATAAATATTTTTTACAATTTCTTAAAAATTTTAAAGCTAGAAAATGTAAAAAGTACTTTTAAGTTTTAAAATACTAGCAAAATTTTAATATTTAATCCTAGAATTTGTATGGAATGTTTGCCAGTTGTAATTACCTAAATGTGTGTGAGTTCCCAGAATGCAATCAAACATTACTATTGTCCAAGTCTGAGCTTTCCATATCTTCTTCCTCCTCTCTTCTATGCCTGCTCCTTCGACTTCTACCACTAGAGTTGATCACAGTAACATTGCCGTTCCAAGCACCACTTCTGCCGCTGCGCCTCTGCTGCTGCTGCTGTGGTGTTGGGGTGGGAGGGGGCAGCTGATTGCTACAGATATTTTGGTTATAGCAATGATGCCGCTCACAACCCAGATTGTTGTCTTTTTCTTGATTGCATCTTCGCCATCCAGCATCTGAGTCGGAGCTGCAACTACTGGAACTATCAACGACATCTCTGTTCTTCCGTCTCTTGCTTTTGTATGTGTGTTCTTGGTTCACAGAACCTAGATACAGCAGTAAAATATATTTTAAGGGGAGGGAATACTTGCCTTCATAACAAATTTTATAAGAAAAATAACTATCAACATTTTTCAACTGGACAATAAAATGGCTTACCTGGAATTGGGGTATGGACTTCAACTTTTACAGTGGCAGTAGCCTTAACTCTAGTAATATGAGCTGGGGGAGGGGGAGGCGGAGAATCTGGCGGACTTGAATTCTGTTGAATTAAAAAATATTTGTTTATTAAAAGTTTTTATACATAAGCTATAGTAAACATAACAATAAAAAAATGAAAGAAAACATTACAATTTCAAAATAAAACAACTTACGTGTCTGTTATTATGTACAGATGAGGTAGAAGCAACTACTCCACCGTGTCCATTATTGCTGGATGACCTGTGGGTCTGTGGGTGCTGCTGCATGTGGTGGGAACTGTCGTGACACGTGCCAGGTAGTGTCGTTGTCTCAACAACCACCTCTGGCTGGACAATTATCTCATGAGAAGAGTATTGGGTGGGCTCTTCTGATATGGTGGATAAAGATATATCCGAGTTTACTCGTGGATACACCCTCCTTGAGCCCCGGTGTGAACGACCAGAGGAAGAGCCTCTCTGGTTGAGTTTTGGTGAAGGCTCAGGGGTGGGTGTTGCTAGGCAGTCTGCATTGTCTTTTGGAATTACCTGTAGACAAATAGTTTGAATTGATAATGACTACATGAATTCATTAATAACTATAAAAGTATTCCAAGATAGAGGTAGATTTAACATTTTAAAAGGCATGATTATACTTTTTGGTAATATTTTAAAAAAATAAACATACCTCGCCTTTTGGACCAAAAATACTAAGTAACACTGGCAACAACATCAGCCCATTAAAAAGACCAATCACAACTAAGGCGCCCAAAACGTTGAAAAAATATCTGTAAAAAAAGAATTCATTGTTACAAATTTTCATTATGCTTATTAATTATGTCTTCATTGAAATAGAAAAAGGTGGGGTTTTTTTTTTACACAAACCAATATAGATCTAGGCCAATACATATTTAGCCTACATAGAAGGTTGGGATACATTTTAATTCACTGGTTTTAAACATTAAATTTTTGTGTGCGTGAAGGTTTAAGTAAGAAAACTATGAGAAGAGTGAAGGTAAAATGGATAAAGACATCACATTTTCACATGGAAGAAAAAAAAAGGGTGTGTTCCCCCATCCTCCTTCTCCTCCTATTCTTTATCAACCCTTCACTCCCTTTCCCACCCGCAATTTTTTCTTTTTTTACTTTCCATACCAGTCCAAGCGAGGGCCACACATACGCCCCACGTGTTCAAAACGTACAGCCATCTTGAACTCTCGGGGTAAACAGTAGTCGCTCCAGTATTTATTTAGAGAAGGACGGCCAGGAATAAAATGGGGGGAAAGGGAAGAGACGGGGTATGGTGTAATGAGGAAGGACTGGCACCCCTCCCCTTTCCGTTCATGACCGAGGTGCAACTGGGCTGGGTCTGATCGTAAGGCAGAAACAAAAGTTGCTGACCAATGGTCAATGGACGGCTCAAACAACTGTCCGCGTTAGGACACTTTTTAACAACTCTTTATTTATATTTAATGAGGTGTTTGAAAAAAAAAAATTAAATTGAAAATTATAGTTCTACGAAAAACTAATGTCAGTTGTACGCTATACAAATGGTAGGCCTATGTCTCTAGGGTTAGACTACATAACAATTCATCGGAAAGCTTTGTTAAAGCTGTAATAACCTAAACAATTTTTTTAAGCGAAGATAGAATTGTTGTTTCGTTTTCTTCTAAAAACCATCACCACATTATCGATTTATTGACAACAGGCTTACCAGTTAAGAAAAATAGTAATTATTTTAATACCATATTTTTAATTCATTGAGGAGAAATGTATTTTATGTGCTGTTGTGTTTAACGCAATTACACCGAGGCAGCCAAAGTTGAGAACCACTGATGGAAGGATAAAGAGAATAAAAAAAAACAGTTCACATCCCGACTTGTGCCACCTTTTATACCGTCTGATGCACCCCTACCGCCCCTGCGCGCGTTCATGAAGGGGAGACCACACGCGGGCGACTGACTTGACTACACAGACACAAACTTCCCTGGGTGTGCAAGCTACTAAAATTACCGTAAAGTACGCTACCAGTTACGGCCGGTGCCTAGTCCCCCCCCCCCCACCCATTTGAGCTAAAATAAGCCTTGATACTTTAATTAGTTTTCTTTTTAATGAAATAAAAACTCGCACGCATTTAAAATGTCCGTGTTTTTCTGCCTGTACAAACAAGGTGTGCAGAATTGATGCGGGACGATTGTATTACGAGGAACTCTCCTGTCAAGGGAAATCTTATTTTGACGTTTGCTAATGGATTTTGAGGACAAAAAAAAAAATTAAAAAAAAATTCTACGTAAAAAGTTATGAAATGTTGAACAACACCTTTTCACTTTTGTTAAAAATAAACACAGGTAAGCTTACTTGTCGACCTGACACACATGCCCATGACGATACTTTTAACCCCCCCCCCCCCCCCAACCTTTACACTGAACCTAACCACAATGATTCAAGTGATATAATTAGCCTATACATTTCCACAATTAGTTAAAAAATAGAACACAAATGTGTATTTTATTGACCTGGCAACTCAATAAACCTTCTAATTTAAAGCTTTTAGATCCTTAATCCCCCTTTTCCCATGCTCCTACAAAATGCAATAAAAAATCCTGATGAACTTTGACTTGGTAAGCACGAGTTAAATAACGCGAATATCGCGGCCTTAATGTGGTAAGTACACAATAAACATTTTTTTATAAACATGATATTTGTGTTTGTTTTCTCACATGAGAAGCCCTGCCCTTGATTCTAATAGAGACAAATTACGCGATTACGGGCCTTTAAGCGTGCTATGTCGGACGCAAGCTGAGCTAGGTAGGCGTTGTTGGGTGGTTATGATTCTTCTTCAACAGCAGATTCCACTGGGATCAGAAACCGCGGGGTCTGAGGTGCTAGCAGGATGGCGGGAACGACGGGGCAGATGAGCTACAACACCTAGACAAGCAGGTACACCGAAGTATATTCAACAAGCTAGTGAATCCAAATAGGTCTCAGAGTCACAGCTTATAAAAATGTTGATGAAAAACTAAATCTACATCTAAAGAGGAAAGGCCAAGTGAGATGAAAATATATACAAACATCACTTGGCCGGGTGTATGCGATTTTATAATGAGAAAATGTTAAAAGAACGTGCTAATCTCATAAATAGAATAAAGACTAATCATTAAATTCCGAGTAGTTACTCTTAGCATACTGTAACAATAACCATCGAGTTTATACATGAGTTAACACCAAATCGTTCGGCTAAACTAATCAGGTTATGTGTGATTAATACACACATACTTTCAAATACTTTTAGTTGATAGTTAGGTATCAAAAACCAAGCAAAAGTCTGTGTACCATGAGTAGTTGAGTTTAAACGTTTTGATTATCATTTGAAAAAGTTTGTTGAGAAAAAAAAAGCCACCACATAAAATGGATGTTTACACACCACCATAGTTGACTAGATCTATGTTCAAACGAAAAGACATACAATCGTGAATGCATAACCCTACTAGACCCGTGTAAACACGAGTAGGGGGGGGGGGCTCTTGTAAGACAACTCAAGAATCGGCCTCTACCCCCCTGAGGTAAACAGAGCACGGTGTTCACCCCGATTTAACCAAATCCGGCTTTTGAGTTCAAGACTTTAACGCCAAGTATACAGTGTCAAAATTTAACGCCCAGAATGTCGAGTTCAAAATTTAACCTAAGAATGCGAAGTTGTAAAATTTTAAGCTAAGAATGTCGTGTTTAAAATTTAACGCCAAGCAGTGTGCCGTAAAAGTGAACGCATTGAACGCAGTGTTAAAAATGTAACCCAACAGCCATGAATGCCGTAGTTTATGGCCCAGCTTGGTGGAACATCCGCAAGTCTTCATCAGTGGGAGCGAGCATGAGGCAAAGGGGCCTAAAAGAGCAGAGATTAGACCGCGGGTAGGGACGTAATCTAAATGAATAGCCGTAGCCCAGGTAAACCAACCGTTGGCAGAACGACACCTGGGGCGCGTCAGCAATAAAAGAAAACAAAAAAGGGGGGTAGGGAGAGGAGAGGGGGGGGGATGAATAAAATTGCTAAAGGTTGGGTTAGAGAAAAAATGGAGGGGGTGTGTATGTGAAGTGATGAAACTGATTTTGTTCTAGATATTTTGGAACTTTTATATATATATATATATATATATATATATATATATATATATATATATATATATATATATATATATATATATATATATATATATATATATATATATATATATATATATATATATATATATATATATATATATATATATATATATATATATATATATATATATATATATATATATATATAATGGAAAGAGAGAAATATGAGTTGTTAAATGTAGGGAGTCTTGTTTGTTTACTGACGACGGAGCATCATTTGGTGTACATTGAAATTGATGGCCGTCTCATCTATCACGGTGTCTTCTCATTTGGGATACCTTTTTTTTTATCCCAACCCCCAACGTCATGAATATCTTTTAGTCTAGACAAAAGAAAATCCAGGTCTACGTTCAAGAGAGAGAGAAGAAAAGATGGTGGAGGTGGGAATGAATGGGAAGGAAAAAAAAACAGGGGGAGGGGGAAAGAAGAGATGGTTTACGACACGATTGAAAACGTCGTTAATGTCTTAAGTCTGCTATCCTACAACTATGCTTCAGCGACCTGGGTGGCCCGACCATTGTAAACAGGGGCGGCGACAGGCTGATCCGACTTCTGGATGGGGGAGATAGATTAGGCGGGTTTAAGCTGAACGCTGGGCTTAAATAAAACATCATTTCTTCACCGTATGTAAATTTTAATCCGTTTCTTTCGTGAATATGCAAATGAGCACACTTGTGATTTAAATACTACATTTCACCGGCGAGGGTAAAGTGTTTGGAATCGCCGAGGTGACATGAACACGGAAATCGCTTGAGAAAACTAAACAAACACTTTTTTTTGGGAAGGGGGTAACGAATTTCAACACTTTAGTTCTATAGGTTTAAACTTTTCAATGAAGAAATTGGCCTATGACTACATTAGTTAACAGCAGTTTGTAGTGAAATATTGGAGAAAAAAAGGGGACCAAATTTTAATTTATTTCCAAGCACACACGAGAGTAAAAAAAAAACAGGACTAGGCATTATTTACTCACAAAAGACCCCCCCCCTCCCATTATCGCTTAATCCGTACTCAGGAATGCCGCCCCTGTAAAACGAACCCCAATCCTGCATCTTTCAGTTTACGGGCGAGTTGAGGTTTTGGTGGGGGTGGGAGGTTTTGGTGGGGGTGGGAGGTTTTAGTGGGGGTGGGAGGTTTTGGGCTGGTGCCCAGGAACACAAAGGTGCGTCTGTCAATAATCGAGGCGTTTGATGCCATCTACAGACTCGCCCAGACAGGCGCGCGTGGAACGGTGGAACAAGGAGACAGGAGATGGAAGGGATATGGAAGGGATATGGGGGAGGGGGATAAAGGAAGGAAGAGGGGGGGGGGGGGGCGGGAAAATAAAACTGGGTTCCAGCTACCAGTACACGTATAGGTCAAACAACATTTACAGAGGTATACACTAACTAGAAGAGGTATACAGCGTTCACGGAGGTATACACTAACTACAAGAGGTATACAGCGTTCACGGAGGTATACACTAACTACAAGAGGTATACAGCGTTCACGGAGGTATACACTAACTAGAAGAGGTATACAGCGTTCACGGAGGTATACACTAACTACAAGAGGTATGCAACATTTACAGAGGTATACCAAATCAAGAAGAAGTATATAGTATTCACTGAGGTATATACATAATCAG